CCCCTCGGCCAGCACGGCGCCCCCCATCTCGCCGGCCAGCACAGCACCCCCAGCCAGCACGGCGCCCCCAGGCCAGCCCCTCTGTGCGTAGTGCTATGGGCCTGACCGACCCAGTCCTGTGGCTATCGCGACCTTGCAGCTGCCCCACCCACCGGCAAGGTGCTGCAGTCGCCGCAGGTTGGCTCTGGAGCCCAGAGCCCAGGGCTTTCCATGCAGCGGTGCCCCGCGCGGGCGCTGGCTGGGGCTGAGGTCGCACAGGCCGAGGAATCGGCTCCCTGCCCCCAGACACCAGGACGGCGCCCTCTGCTTAAAGCCCCGTGAGTCAAGAGGCCACTCCCGGGCCAGGCTCCAAGGGGAGCAGTGAGGGGGAGGGGCACGGGGCCCTCGTGCCCCCCAAGAACCCAGGCAGCAGCAGCGCCAGGTGCAGCAGGGCCCGACCTGGAGAAAGGCGCAGGGAGCGACACGGCAGGGTCCCCGCAGGGCTCCTCGCGGGAGGGGCCGGCGGAGGGCTGCAGCCACCCACTTACAACTCGGTGAGTCAGAAATAACGCAGCAGCTGGTGGGGGCGGGCGCAGCAGCCAGGAGCTGTGCCCAGGGCGAGGGAGCTGGGGCTGGCAGGGACTCTCCTCACTGCTCCTCCCTGGGGGGCTGTACCCCCTGGACCTGGGGCTCCTGCTCCTCGGACAAAGTGTGCCGGGGGTCTTGGTCAACTGCCCCGCCCCCAAAGCTTCGCCCCAAAGGCCGCACAACAGGCTAGACGCTGGATGCTGGTGGGGCCTCCTTGGGAGCCTCCCTGTCTGCTTCCTCCTGCCACCTCTGGGCTCAGCAAAGGGCCCCATTAACAACTGGCAGCTAGAGAAGAGGGGCAGCCGGCTCGGGAGGGGCTGGGGGGCAGTCACAGCCCCTGGGCCGGGCCTGCAGGGCTCAGACAGCCTCCAGCTCCGGCAAAGCTGGGCGGGGAAGCTCGCTCCTGGGGAGTCACTGACCCCCTTTCTTCCTTCACTCTGTGCCCCCACAAGCAGCCAGGATGAGCATTTTAAAAGGCCAAGACCTCGCTCCAGCCCCTGGAGGCTCCAGCCCTAGCTGACCTCCCCCCACCCCACGCTGTTTCCAGAACATGCAAGAAGGCCTCCCCACAGCCTTTGTGGGTGTCTCCTCGCCTGGTACTGGCTTCTTCTGACTCTCATTCAAAGATGTCTCCTGGGGGTCTTTCCTAATGGGGTGACTGTGGCAGAGGGGGGGTTCTGGGCCCCAGGCCCTCGGGGCTGGAGGCCAGGGCCAGGGCTTCGAAGCTCCCCTCCCTCCCGCAGCCCAGACCCGGGCCGCTGAGCCCTGCTGCCTGGCTGAGCCCTCGGGGCCTGGAGGCCCCTCCCTGCCACAGTCACGTCAATTTAGGGCCACATGTCACGGTGTTGAAAGAGGGCAGCGGTCAGTAGGCCTCAGCACCAAAGCCACCTTCCCCTTCCAGAGCACGCTCGCTCCCCAGCAGCTGCGGCCTCACGACCTGCCCCTGGGACGTCTGGGTGCTACAGGGAGCCGGCAGGCTGGGCTCCCAGGTCAGCTCTGCCCGGGGCGGGTGGCGAGTGGTCAGTGGGCCTCCCGGTGCAGGCTGGAGGCAGGCGACCGGCCACTAGGTGTCGCCACACACAAAAGAACCAGAGTTGCAGCAAGTTCTACCCCCACCCCCACCTCCCTAACAGGCCCATCTGGTCCAAGCCCTGTTCTGATCCCACACTCGCAGACCACACCCCAGGCCCGGTCACTCATTCGGGCCGGATCCACCCCAGCAAGTCCTGCAGCGCAAGCCCAGGCCGCGGGGAGTTGGGGGAGTCTGGCTTTCCAGGGCTCGCCCCCCCTACACCCCCAGGCCCCTCCTGACCAGCCAAGCTTTCTCCAACAGCACCAGGGGCACAGAAACACAGGTGGGCGAAGGTAGGAGGGGAGAGGGGGCCCCAGGTTTCCATTTTCCAGCACTGCCCCCGCCGGCAGCCTCTCCCCACCTGCACAGGCGGGCTTCCTCCCACCTCCCTGCACCCCTGCGGCCTTGCATGCAGTGGTTTTGGGGGACTCACGCCACCCCTCTGGGTGCGGGGCCCTGGGACCAGGCTGCCTGCTGCTGAGTACGCTCTCCACACGCCGCCTGCCTGTTTCCCTCGCGCTGAAACACCTGGCCGCACCCCTCCAGCTCTGGCGTGAGCTGGCCGTCCTGCTGCTGACAGGAAGCGGGGGTGCTGGGCAGACTGGCCAGCAGCGCACACCCCTGCCCTGCCCCTCCCTCCTGACCGGGCGCCACGACTCCGTCCTAAACAGACCCGCGCTGAGGACGCCGACGTGGGGAGGGGCCACGCCGACAAGGGCGACCCGCCGTCACCCCAAACAGCCGCCACGTGGCAGCTGTGACGCTCCACGCCGTTCGGGGTCGGAGCCCGTCCAAGCGGACAGGCCATTACATTTTCATTGCCATCCTGACAGCGTCAGATGAACTTCACTGAGCAAATTTCCTCCCTGTAGGGATCAAGAGCTGGGCTCCATTCAAACGTGTCTGAATTACGCAAGTGCAAACTGCGACTAATTTGGAGACATTTCTCCTTCACCGGCCATCGGCCACCAGCGCCACATAACCAGGCCTCCCGGTTACGGCGCCATCGACACCCTGTCGTCCGCTTCCATTCCGGACCCTACGAAAATCTGAGGGTTAACGACCCTCCCTCCCTGAAGACACACGGTTCTGGAAACTGACTTGGGAAAGGCATGGGTGGCCACGGCGGCACCTGTCAGCCACCATGTGGCCAGGGGGGGAGAGGCTTGTGGCTGAAGAGGAGGCTAGAGGTACATGGGACTAGTGGACAGAGGGGCGACTCCAGCAAATCCCGCCTGAGCCAGCAGCTGCCCCAGGGGGGCCGGGGCACGTACCACAGGCAGAGAGCCCCACGGCTTTGTGGGGTCTGAGCCCCCCATCTGCGGAAGGCGGCCGGCTGGTACCGCACAGTGAAGAAGGGGCTCCCGCCACCAGGGGCATGCAGACACAGTGGCCAACGTGGCCGCGCCTGAGACGCACCATGTTCTCCGGGAGGTGCCCAGGCCTCACAGGGGACACTCTCCTGCCCAGCCCGGGCCGGGCCTCGCCCCAGCACGCGCCCCCGCTGGAAGCGCTGATCTCAGTTAGGGGGATTGGAAGACGTGCAGGAGGGGCAGGAGGGGGGAGGGGCAGGAGGGCAGCGCCGCTCATGACCAGCCCCCAGAGCCGCCGCCTTGGCCAGGCCCGCGCCACCTGCGAGCATCTGTATTTATAACCTCGAAGCCAGAGCTGCCTCAACACTCCCGTTTCTGCGAACGAAAAGACACATTCATGCCTGGGGCGCTCTTGCAGCTGCTCGGAAAACCCTGAGTAACCACAGGACAGCAGCAGGTCCTGATGGACACAGGCCCCCCCCCCGAAGGCCTGACACTTGCCATCTGTATATTTAAAAGAAAAAAAAAAGATTCATTTTAAATGTGTATATTCTAAAATGCACATTGACATTTGTACAATGTTTGTACAATGTTTAACTCACATAAAAATACAATCTTAAACAATGCAAGTAATTGCACGGCTCATAGACCGCCCACGACATGCCAGTCCAGAGGCCGCCGAGGCGCCCTCCTGGGATGAGGGGAGAGGAGGGAGCCGGCGCCCTCCCGGTCGCCCCGAGCCTCGCCAGCCAGCCTGCGCACGCCGCCCCAGGGCCACGCACGGCTGGGTGCTTACCTGCTCCTGGAAATTAACTTCGGACAAACAGGTGCTGGACTGTGATGGGCGGGCTGTGGCCGCGGAGAAATAGGCAGGCGTGGCCCTGTGGAGACACGGAACGAGGGTCAGGGGAGGGGCCGGGGGACCCGCACACACGCCCCCGAGGACACGGAAGGCCTCAGGAGCGCGCTCCGCCACAGTCCAGAAAGACCTGTGTGTCCGGCCTGCCGGGCGCCCGCACCGCACCTCTGGGGGAAGGTGCTGAGGCAGCTGTCCTTGCCTGTCACTTCCGGCCCAAGCAGGTCACACACCCTCCGCCTCCCGGCTTAGTCAACAGGCCCGGTGTGAGCCAAGCTCAGAGACGCGCACCAGTGCACAGTGTGAATCACGTTCAGCTGATGGGCAGGGCAGGAGGGGAGCCCCGGCGCCCCACCCAGCAAACCCCAGCAGCCAGGCCCCGCCTCCGGGACTCCCGCGTGCACTGGGGCTTTGTGCGGCCAGCGCTCGGCTCATGTGTGTCAACAGGAATGGATACGCAGGCGCAGGTCATCGACGACCTCTGGCCCATGTCCACGGGCCCCTCTTGGAGGAGCACGGCCCTGCTCCCGCCCACAGGAGGCCCCGCGACGGGCGCCCTGCCGGCTCCTGCAGCAGGAGCCCGGGCGGTGGGCGAGGGCCGGCCGGGCTCGGGCAGTCCTCGGAGAGCCTGCACAGGGGCAGACCCCCAGCTCCCGCCTGCTCTCCCCAGGGCTTCTGTCCAGAAAGCTGCCGCCCACCCGGGGCTGGGAGACGGGGTTCCAGAGCCAGCGAGGCTCAAACGCCTCCCCCCAGGGCGCCGCGCTCCTGCTGCCCCACGAGGGCCCTGCGGCTGGGCAAGAGTCATCCATCGCCCCCTCCACCTTGCGGCTACCACCCAGGAGCAGACCCTATAGGCCAGGAGAGCAATTAATTACTCTTTTATTTCTCTGGATATCAAAGCACTGAAATACCATGGAACCCTGGGGAACTTCCCACCCAAGCGCCCACATTCCTTCAAGCAGAGATGAAAAGACGCAGCCTTCTCCTCTACGGAGGGGCTTTCATTTCCCCAACTACCACACAGCCAACTGGCCTCCCACTGCCCACGGGCGGGGCTCCCAGAAGCCGGGAGCCACGTGCTGGCCTGGAGGGGACAGTCGCTGGATGCCAGGGCCCGGGTCGGTCCTGGGGTCACGGCCTGTGTTCCACTGGCACCTCATGTTCAGGACGTGCCCCCAACTGATGGAGGAGGACACGGGAGCTCAAGCCCTGGGCACCCAGGACCGTCGCAGGGAGAGTGCCCAGGACCCAGCTCAGTATTCGGTTCTGCAGCCTGGTTGGGCCCTGCGGGCTGCGCCCCTCACTTCACCATTTGTGAAAAGGAAATCACAGGGCTGGCGGTCAGGGCTGGCGGTCAGGGCTTGGGGATCAGGGCTAGCAGTCAGGGCTGGGGCTCAGGGCTGGCGGTCAGGGCTGGGGGTCAGGGCTGGCGGTCAGGGCTGGGGGTCAGGGCTGGTGGTCAGGGCTGGCGGTCAGGGCTGACGGTCAGGGCTGGCGGTCAGGGCTGGCGGTCAGGGCTGGGGGTCAGGGCTGACGGTCAGGGTTGGGGGTCAGGGCTGGCGGTCAGGGCTGGGGGTCAGGGCTTGGGGATCAGGGCTAGCAGTCAGGGCTGGTGGTCAGGG